TAAAATTATTAGAAATTTCATAACTAAATTTCTACTTTAATTTTTATTAACTCAGATATAATATATATAAACACAAAAATGTTTACAGTTCAAAATCAATAACTTTTGTTTGTAATTTTAATTTAATCAGTTATGGTTTAGATATATTTTTTTCTTGATTTTAAATATGAAAAACTTTTATTCTTTAGCTAATGTTTATTTTTTAGCAACAGCATTTTCATGGTAAAGAATTTAATCTCCCACTCTTCGCTGTGGATTCCAAATATGTTTGTATAAGTTATAATTTGCTAAAATTTCTTTCAGCTTTTCCTAATAATATACAGGGATTGTCAGCAGGATTCTCTGCCTCCCATGTATTTGGAACTATATTCTTCAATTTAGCTTCCTTCTAAACTTGTTTCTAACAGCGAATTAATGTTTTCCGAAAGAAAACTGAATGAAAAGACACGAATATGCGATAAAATTTTTAATACAGAATAAATTATTTTAAAATGATATGTGGCCTGCCCCTCAAAAAGATGCTCTCCACCTTCGCATTAGAATATATTGTAAATTTAATGATTGAAACAAATTTTATTAAATCATTCAGAAGATTTTAAAATATGTACGATACAATTATTACGAATAAAAACCATTCAACGAGTAGGAATTTTGTCCTGAAAACTTTTTAAGTTATAATAAATATAGTTTTATTTTATCACGATGATATTTCGTCTTTACGTTCATTGGCACAATCGTTGCCATGCAATTTGTGAGGCCCTGGGCTGGGGTGAAAAATGAAAAATAAGCAAAAATTGAAACAAGAAACGAATCTTGATCTTCGTGATTGATTAAAATTAAGGGAACTAAATTATAAAGGAAAAACATAAAATTAATATTAAACCACGCGAAAAGGGGAGAAAAATTAGTAAATTATATTTTTTTTAGACGAGACGAACAAAAAAAAAAAAAAAAGGAAATGTTAAGGTACAAGGTTCGTTTAACACCTAAGAAAATACGATGTCGAATTTTATTCGTAAACAATCGTCTTTCTCGGGAACCGATCTGGTCCAATTTCATCTGGTAACAGAGAAAGATTAATCTGGGATCGAAAAAGATATTAATAACCAATAAGGTAAAGATTTGCGAGACGGAAAGGTATTTAAGCCAAGGCTTGGTTCTTTGCCGTGGCGTCCCACCAGGCTATGTCCCTCGTTGGAATGCTTCTCGCAAGGTTCCATCTTCGTCCTTTGCCGATGTATCCTCCGAAAGTTAGACCTTTGTTGAGAGAAACTTCGGACATTCCGGTAACCACCTTCGCCGGACTTTTCTTTGAAGACTTTGTGATTATGAACTTTAAATTAAATTGTCTAAATAAATGGTTGTGTTGTTTGTAAACGAGGCATCGATCTCTGACTCAATCGCTCCCAAATGACGTTGACTGTTACCGCTCGGCAGTCCAGGCGGCAATGGAGACGATAACGATATCACATCATTATTTCGTTTGACATCCCACCTTTATCAAATGTACCCATGTTTGAACCAGAATGATTAAATTCGGACGTATCAGTCCCATCGTCACACAGTTTGGAAGAAGTTACAGCCAATCGACGACAGTTTTGTATCGATATACTTCGGGAAATCTGTTTATGCAACCCTCGAAATCCACATTTCCACGAGAGAAATAATTCTATAATAACGATAATCGGGAGTGTTGCGGAGAAACCAATCCCACAGAGCGATAGTTGATGTTTGATGATCCACCAATAATTGAAATATTCCTCGTCGAGTTCGGATTTTGTATCACTGTAATTAATTGGTGTATTGTTAGTGCTGTTCGGTGTGCAAAGTTCTCCGTTCGAATCTGTTTTATCTCTGACTTTCTTCTTATATTGTTTTTCTAAAATAAACATTTAAACAGTGTGTTGGTAAATATTATATGAATAAATAATCATTTGGACAAATTCGTATTTAAATAAAGACTATCAAACATATCGAAGCCCGATATGTATATAGAAACAACCAAACGATGGCCTTAAATAATTGGGCTATAACCCGCCTAATTTAATGATTAATACTAAGTTATTTGCTGTTAGAGGCAGAGTTAATAGATATACTGGTCATCAGTACAGTTAATGTCTTAGGTTGCCGATAGCTGGCGCGAGATTCGCTGTTAGACGATAAGTTTGTTTAGCTAATGTTAGTATGTAGTTTTACTGGCGTCTAATTACAGAACGATTCCGTAGCCGTAGTTCTGGTTTTTACCACGAGATGCCGCTAGTCTCGAGGCGTTCAGATAGCGTATACCTCATACTGTACTATGTGCTTGAAATTTTTTGTCGATATTTTAGCTTTAAAACAATACTTTATCATCGATAATTGGTTGTAAAGTATTCCCGCTACGTTGCTAAGAAATCGTTATGCAATATTCAATATCTTGCATAACGATTTCTTATTATATATTAGATATATTAGATAATACTTGTTGTTATTGCGATAAGCACTTCTCAAAAGGAAATCTTACTAACAAGCATGTAGATTTAGAACATAAGCAAATCCTGGTGGAGGAAAAGTCTATATTCTGTTGGAAGACTTCATGTTCTGAAGGATTTTCTACTCTCCTTCGATTACGTGAACATCTGGAGAAAGTACTGTACCTGTACAGTACATAGATTTGCCTGTGAAATTGAGAAGCTGCAATTCAAAACTATGATGGGTAAGTAAATTCTCTTCTGAAATTTAAAAATGCTGTATTTAATTAATATATCTTAAAATAATTGTTTTCATGAATTTTAACAGCTCATTCAGTAGTAATTAAAAATGTACTGTATTTGACAGATTTCTACGAATGGAAAGTCACAGATAAGTTGAGAACCAACTAAAATTAACTGTGTCGTACTGTCTAAAGATTCATGAAATTTATAAATTCTACTCGTGCGGCTCTGGCACATGGGATCATGACTACGCTCAGTTCAGAAATGTACTGTACTTACAAAAGGAAAACATTCAATAACAAACAGATTGTGCATATGAAAATGTTTCAAATGTATAATTTTCAATAAATCTTTTTCATAAAGAAAATATCTTTCTTATGAGTACTGTGGCATTTTTTCTTAGCTAACGTTCAAATGAATCATTGCAGATCTGTTAAATCAGGCTACAAAAAGTTCACTAATATTTGAGTGACGATGAGAATTTGTTGATGGATTTAAACTACCAATTCAAAAGACTTTACTCAAATTANAGTAATAGAAAATCTTATCTAACTTTGCAATAAAGTATTTTAGAAATTATCAGTAGGTTGCAGACAGATTTTGTAGTAGTAGATACAAAAATACTTAACATAAAATTTTACAATATTTTATTCAAAATTAAAAAGAATAATGTTCCATAAACTAGCACATAGAATCAAAAAACAAAGGTCGGGAACTTTATTTTAACTTGACATATAGATTTCAAATGGGACTAATTGGACCAATTTACTTTAACTGTATTGTACAATATTTAATTAAATTTTTTGTTAATAAAAAGTATATCTTTAATTGACAGTGTGAGTAGTTTAAGAAAGTTATATTGCATTGAATGATCACTTCATTTTCGTATAAAATGCACTAATCACTGAAGTTGCTAAATGATACCAATAGATTTAAAGATCATTTTTAAATAAAAATACAGAGCACTGTTTTTTTTTATTTTGGTATTAATTTTTGCCAAAATATAATTAAAATGAGGAATATCAAGTGTATTTTAAACTAGATATTTTGTTTTTCTTTCTTATTAGATTAATTATAGCATGATTAAAAAGTTATATATTTCACGTATTAAATTTCAGCTTTGAGTCTCTTCTGTCTTCTGGATTGTTGTTGTTGCATATTTAATGATCAGTTTGTTTTTATAGACACAAAAGTAATTTACAGTTTATCTCGGAGAGTATCCAACTGGAAAAGCACTATTCTGAATCAGTAGTATAAGTAGTCAGTATAATCTATTGCTAATAGTTTTAGGGACAACTTATGTTGTTATGCATCTATTGCTATAAAGTATTTTATAAATTATAATAAAATCTTTAAATTTTAGAGTTCTAGTCTGTTCCAGCAACAATTTTTTTTTATAGAAATCCTATCCTGGACTGGATATATATAATATGACACTTCCAAACCTAAATCCCAGTGAGAAAAATATGTAATGCTTTGTAAACAGTTCTGGCTTAGTATATATACAGTATTATGTTCATATCTTATCATTATATTAATATATCAGCACTCCAATACTTTTGGGGTATAGTTTATTCTGAATTTTTATTATTTATTAGCATTTAACCTTTTTCTATGTGTTGTTTTCTTTTGTAATTGTTTTTATTTTGTAATTTATTACTGCGTTCTTGCGCATGCAACATTTGTACAAAGCAAACGTTATTTAAATTCCTTTTATGTTCAATTTGTGTTTTGCCAGTAGATCCTGAAGATGGCCTTTGAAAGGTCAAACGTTTATTTTTCTCATTGGATTTTAGGTTTGGAAGTGTTGTTGTATAACAATTTTTTATTTATCAAACATATTTATTTGCTGGAACAGGCTAGAACTCTTTAAATTTTACACTTTACTCCAGTTTAAGAAATTTATTAATCTTTTTTATAAAATTTAAATATATTTATTTATTCGGCATATTAATAACCAGAGTAATGTAATAAATTTTACATTAAATGACAAAAAATTTCAAGAAGTTTTTTGTCTTCTTGAAATTTCTGTATTTTACTAGATTTAATCATAATTTTAAGTAAGATTATTAAATGAATTAGTATATATTGTATACAGTAGGACTGTTTAGAATTTGTATTACTTTTATGTTTAAATTTGTACATATTGTGTTTCATGATGATTTATATTAATGAGAGAAAAATTATATTTATATAAAAATAAGAGAATTTATATACTTAATATTAGTTTTCTTCATTTCAAAATAATGTTTTTCTATTGATTTAATTAAAAATATAAGTTAACTTAAAATTTTTCCGATTATCTAGAAATGAAATATTGTGTAACACCAGCCATCGTAAATGTGATAAGAACTGTTATAGCTCTTTGTTTTATTGCAATTTTGACTACCCTTGTCCAGTTCTTTTTTGATACCATAGGAGTTAGAAATAAGTGGTTGAAAACAATAAGAAGAAATTCTCTCTTTAATATTCTAACTGGTAAGTTTTATTTTGAAATTTTTAAAATTAATTTAAGAACAACACTTAATACTAAATTAATCCAGAAATTAATACTTTTATACATAAGAGAGACATTTAAAAGCAAGTTACTTATTTTTTTATCATTGGTTCATTCTTTTTTTTTTTACAAAATCACTATTATCTGTAAATTGATGAAATATTTATATAATGACAAACAAAATTATATATTTGTATCATATATTTACTTTATCATTGTTGATTTAGCAATGCAATTTAATATATTTAGATCATTATTTCAAATTAATTTGTAGCTCTAATTTTCATAAATATAATAAATGTTTCAGGTAACTGAATTAAAATATGCTGCAGATCTTTGTTACAGTTTTTATTTTGCATGTTAATTTTCACAAGACATCTGTCTTATCAAACTAACAATTGATAAATCGAAAAAATTTGTTGTTATTAATTTTTGTTTGAAAAATTTTTGTAGAATATTTTAAATTAGCCACATTTATTTATTTATCATTAATACAGGAAAATCTGTTTAAGATATTTAGTGTTGTATAAAAGAAATCTTCAATAAACACTGTATTACTTAAAATGAAAAATATTTATTACCAAGGTTTTTGATAAGGTACATCAATGGTAAACGTGTGATTCATGGGTCACAGGTTCATCACTGCTGCAGGTGGATTCAATGCGGGGACATTTCAAAGTTCCTGCATCGAATGTTTAGAAAGTATTAGGTTTTTATAAATTATAAATAAAAGTCTTTGATAGATTTCAAAGTTTTGCATATATAATGTGAAATCAGGGTCTTAAAACTTTCATGAAAACTGTTAAAGGCCACAAATTATGAACCTAGTTAGAAAAACTGTCATCAAATAAACAGCAGTAAATTTCCCATTAAATGAAATACTTGTTTCTGCTATAATGACATTCTTATTATTTTCTTTTCACTTATATAGATTAAAAAGTTAAATAAATTAAAATTTGTAAGTGTTTTTGTTGTTATTTTTAATTATTTAAATTAAATATTTCATTTGCAATTTGGAGTTAACAAATTTTGAATTTAATTTTGACCCATCTTTGGAAAAGGATTAGCCACTGCTGATCTACAGTATACACATACACAGAACTGCAGAATCATGCAATTAAGACTTTAATTAATATATACTGTACTTGTTACATCTACCACCACCCACTGAATTCCACAAACGAGAGAGAAAACCCAAATACATTGAGAGTAAGCCACAGATGTCCTTATAGAAAGACATCAAAATTCAGGAAAGGATGTATTTTACAAACTGAAATAGTCACCAACATTATTTATCTGCAAAAATTAAGAAGAAAAATTGTTAGAATAACAGGGATTTGTTTTACAGTTAACATAAATAAGATAAAATTAATTTGTATTAATTTATACGTACAGAATAAGAAAACTTTAATTTCATTTTTAAAAATTTACATAAAGGTTACCTATATAATGCATAAGAAATTTATTGTTAATCTGTAAATTTTCAGTGTTGTTGTGTGTCATCATCATTGGTTTGTGTTTCTACATTTCGACCTTGATGGAACAGCAACAGAAGTCAACAAAAATCAACCCCACTACCAAAGTCGAGATCAAATTTGACGTGAGTTACTTCTTAGTATCTGGAGCGGGAGCCATGGCAATACTTGCAGCCGCCGCAAACCTTCTCAGGCGGTATCCCATTATAGAGAGCCAAAGCACCCAAGGGCTCCTTGACGATGCAGACAACACTGAAACATTTTCTATCGAATTTCCTCACATGTCATCAACGTGGCCTTACAGAATCGAGAGTTCTCAGATGCAAAATTTATCTGCTCCCCCACCTTATTCTCCTTAGAATTAATTTTCTTTTTGTTTAATACAAAAGTGCTTAAATGAAGACAGTACTAGCATATCAGAAAAAATGGTTGTATATTTCTTAGCATTTTAGAATTCTATATTTATTTTAAACAGTCCAAGCCAAACTCATTAAGATTTTGTAATATTTGAAATCTCATCTTTATTTAATATATATATAATGTATAAATAGCTACATACTACAAAAATCTTCATTATTCTTCTGTATAAATATGTATTTTGTACATAACTAAAGGAATAATTTTACAGAGGCTCTCAGATACTTTGATAATCTATTAATTACTTAAGTTAGAAATCAAAAATAAAAAAAAAGTCCTTTTTTTATTTATACTGTTGAGAGTATTATTCAAAAGTTTATTCAATATTATTGTTGTTAAATAATATATAACCTTGTAAAAATTATTTTGAATATCGAAAAAAATTGTATCTAATCAAAAAGACGAAAGTTGTATATTACAATTCGTATATTTTTATAGTTAATGGAATTTATTATTTAATTGAAACAAATGCAAATATGCTTTATATTTAAGTAATATAAATTGTATATAAATGTATGTAAGATGATATTGTCAAGCCAAAGTGCCTTGATGTGAAATTAGAGAGAGAAATAATAAATGTTTATTATATATATAAATTCATATTTTGCTCATGTAATTTGCTTAATAAAATTTAATTTTGACAAAAAATTCCCTAAATAATGAATAATCCATATCTTATGCATAATTGAAGACCTTGAGGCAAGAACACAACTCTTCCATAACCTTGAAAAATTTGCTCTAAAATTTCAAAATTTGTTCCCTATTTTAACTCAGATTGCGGGCAATTAATAATGATGTAGGTTAAGATAAAATTTTGGGTGGTGTGAGAATGGAAATTTTATCTGTTGAATTTCTAGGAACAAAGGGCAATGTTCAACAAAGAAACAGTTATGTTCTTGCTGCAAGATCATCAGTTCTCCAGAATATACTGTAAATTAGACCTGTAACTATGGGGAGATTATGAAGTTTATGCTTCTAACACAATAAAGTGCTATAAATTAAGACACTTGGCGGGTTGTCTCATCTTTATTTAGTTGATACGTGTGAAAAAATTTACACGTTTCGGGCTTTTAAGCCCCTCTTCAGCCAACTAAAACATTAAAAGAGGATATAACATACATATAAAAAAATACACAAGTTTTGTAAAATTCATAAAAATATAAACATACCTATGCATACAAGTTTTTTTAAAAATTGAAGTAACAGCTACTCCCGATATTTTCCAGTAACATCAGCTTGTTCACAATATTTTTTCCTTTTAGCCAACTATAATATTAGGGGAGTATACGACATATATACAAACTATACATCAGTTTTACAGAATCTATAAAACTATCTTCTATTAAGGCATACCTTGAGTACGGCTGTTATTAAAGTTGTACACAATTGATTGTACCTTTTACTTATAAAACAGTTCTATAAAATCCTTGATCTAAAACATACATTGGACAATAATTATCAAATTGGTATACAATTGATTATTCCTTCTACTCATAAATCTGTTTACAAAATCCTTATTTCCTTTAATACGCGTTGACAATATAATACAAATTTACATAACTTCTACAATATAAATTTACATATCTGACATCTACTATATTTTTTTACAATGTATGATTGTTGATTTATTTAACATTTCAATATTTAATATTATAGATTATTATTTGAACTAATGATATTACAATGTCTTGAAGTTGGTAAACATTATTTAATATAAATTTACATATTATTTGACTCCCATTATAACATTACAGTTTTTTGTTATTGTTGATTTATTTAACAGTTCAATAATTATTAATTAGCACATTGATCACAATAATAATAATTTGAATCTAGTGAATATAATTAATATAAAATTTTTAACCAGTTTTCGTTTATAGAGATGCTAGGATTTTTATTTATACTATTTTGATTTTTGATTATTTCT